ATGCCACTTGTCTTCAGTGAGTTTTCTAGCTCTTTTGTCCAAATTATTGTTTTTTAAAACTATTTTATAGGGATTCTTTGGATATTATGCATTTTTTGGATACTAGCCCTTTCTGTGTTACCAGTACAAATATTTTCTCCCAGTCTGACTCCTAACAAGCATTCAATAAATGTTAGTTATTATTTTTATTGCAGATAAACTTTACTGTCAAGTTACCAAAACTTTAAAACCTCATTGATATTCTTACTAGCATTAAAGTAATCTTTAGGAAGTCTGACAGCAGCTTTACAATACTGAATCTTCCTATTTGGAAACAAGGGAATCTATTCGCAAATGTTTTTAGTATCATTCAAATAAGTCATATACATTTATACATTTCTTTCTTATGGTAATTATTTCTAAGTATTTGGTAATTTTGGATGCTATGAATTGATTTGCCTATTGTATTTTTCAACTGGTTTCAGCCTATGTAACTGCTTGGTTACCACCCACATAATTCTCTATTGTAACAGTTCTAACAATTTTCTAGTTTAGGCTCTTAGATTTCTGTTTGATTGCAAACATATCCTATCATACTTAAGAAATGATAATCTGGCCTGGTTTTCCCAATATTTACATATTATTTTGTTTTTCTTATCTTATTACACTAGCATAAAACAACATTTTCCTACTTAACTAGCTACTGTAGTAAACCAAACATAGTCACATAATTACACGTTTTACATGTAAAAAATACATATGTATTTTCTGAACTTTCTGAAATATATCTGAATTTTCTTTTTTTTATTTATTAAGATTGTTTATTAATTTAATTATTTGACAGAGAGAGAGAGAGCACACGCACAAGCACGGGGAGCGGGAGAGGGAGAAGCAGGCTCCCCGCTGAGCTGGGAGCCCAATGCGGGGCTCAATCCCAGGACCCTGCAATCATGACTTGAGCTGAAGGCAGACATGTTAACCGACTGAACCACCCAGGCATCCCCATACCTGAATTTTCTTTCAGGTTATAGAGCAGGCACTATTTCTATCTAAAAGCTACACTGTCAAATCTCAGATTTATAGGGCTACATGTTTGAAAACAAGGCAAATTTTTATGTCTCTCTGTTATTCTTAAAATACTCTTCTACAATTCATTTTTCACTTGCACTTTCACTTAAAAATATCCAATCAAATATTATCAATATTTTAAAATTTGATGCATCTTAGCAGAATAAATTAGGAGATCTGGAATAACAGAGTGTGGGTGTTGTAGTTTGGTAATTAGAGAAATCAATGACTAGTAATCAAGCAGAATCTGTGTGGAATTCAGACTTGAAATAGAAAAGTTGGGACAAAGGAATTTAATTATTTTCTAATCTTCTTTCACTTTAGGAGCTAACTGGCACCTAACGGTAATTACCTTAGTTTAAAACACCAACCAATTAAAAAGAATACTATGAAGAATTGGTAGCATGGGCCTTTCTTTTTATATTTTAAGTGTTACTAAAAACTCCACCACATTCTCTTTCAATCACAGAGGGAATTACATTCTCAAATTTGGACTCCTTCATATCACAGCTTACACATTGTTTTCATTTTATAACCAAACCTTACAAGTTTTTGAGTACTACAGAGATTTTTTAAAACTGTAAAATAGGAAAAACTTCTGTGGATGGGCAGCAGTAACCATAAATAGGTTATTTCCTGGCAGTGGTACCAATATGAATTTACTTAAACTTGCAATGTTACAGAGAAATGAAAACCATTCCTACAGTCTGCTGAATAATATTACTTAAGTCACTAATGTGTAAAAGGTTAATAACTATTTTAAGTATGATAAACTACTTCTTTTTCGTTAATATCACTACATGAAAACATATACTAGAAAGATGAAAAAAAAAATTTTTCCCCCCTATCATCTAGAATCAGTGGAGATTTCCAGCTGGAACACTACATATACATCAAGGCATGATCTTCAAAGCCAGGCCTAATTCTGCTGGAATTTAGTTTGTATGGGCCCATCAATTTTTTTCAAAGCTAAACTCTCTCCAAAGACTTCTTGCTACATGTGGCAAATTTTATATACTGTCTCTTGGCTAATATTTATTTTGGTAAGATGTGTTTAATGTAAAAAGAGAAATATTACTTTTTGGTGTGACAACCAATATCAATTTTAACTGTCTCCAAAATCTTAAGCTCTAGCCCCTACCATTAAATTTTAGTCCTATATTTCCACTGCTTGTTTAAAATAGAACTCTAACTCCTTTCTCAATCCTTCTACTTCTAAATTGGAAAATTTTAATGGTACTAACATACTTCTTGTCACTTAGGAAGAAACCCTGAATTCACCCTCGATTAGTCCTTCTTTCACTTCATCCATCCAACGGGTGCCACGTTTTATTTGTCTACTGATGTCTCTGTTCCTAATGCCACTGTGGTAAAGCTGATACCTAGTACATTTTGTTTGAATAACAGCAAGCTCCCCCTAAACAGAACGTCCATTTCAAATCTCCTCTTACAGCACACTCCTTCTTTTATACTGTTGTTAAATTACATTTCTAGAGACAGGTTCTGGGTATATCATGCTCCTGGTCAAAAATAACTCTATCCTGATATTCCAAGCCCTGTTATTTGACTTCAGTAACTTTAAAAAAACTATTCTCCCCTATTCACCTTCATGTATCATATACTCAAGCCAAACACAGTTTCCTAAAAGGTGTCTTTGTCTTTTCTGTCTCCTAGTCTTTACCCAGACTAGGTAAAGGTATAAACAATAAAAAATGTTTATTTTGCCTACGGTAACATTTCTCCGTATGTCCAATCTTATTCAAGCTTTAAGGTCTAGTTCAAATGCTGTTATTCTCTAAGACAGCATCCTGGGTCTCCCACAACTGAAAGCAAAAGCCCCTGAATCTCTATAGAATTTCACTACAGACTTCTCTAGGGCAGTTCTCTAACTTCTAACTTGTATATAAATGAGTATACAAATCTCCTGGAAATCTTGATCAAATGTAGATTCTCATTCAGTAGGTCTGAGAGTCTGCATTTCTAACAAGATCCCAGGTGATACTGATACAGCTGGTCTGTGGACAAATTGAATACTAAGGTGTTAAGGAACACGCCCATTTTGGCCTACTACTCTGATCATTTGTGAATTTTTTTTACTGCCTCTGTTTTCCTATAAATGAAGGAAGGATCCCTGTTTTCCACTGCAACTTGTACAGGAGATATTCAATAATATTTTATTTGTAAATAAATATTTGTACAATAAATATTTGTAAACAAAACACTGTATAATTTGTGTGTTTTACAAAACGCAGTAAGCTATATGTATGTGTATATAATATGTATATATGATTGAAACAATAAAACTGAGTCAAATGACAACAACATATCACACGTAATAAGGGTAAATATTATTTTGTAAAACTTTTGTTGCAACTATATATACACACATATACATTTGCATATTCTGGGTCAAAATGTAAAATCTATTCTTTATGTGGGTTTTTGTCAAGAAAGCTGGAAAATACATGTTAGGTTGAATTATGTACCCCCCCCAAATATGTTGAAATCCTAACCCTGGTTAGAGATTGGAGTTGTCACAAGCTAAAGAAAGCCTGGGACTAAAGCATCTGGAAAAGGAAAGGAAAGATCTTCCCCTGGAGGCTGCTAATAACTTGATTTTAGACTTTTAGCCTCCATAATCGTGAGGGAATATATTTGTTTTAAAATACCCAGTTTAGGGAAACTAATACAACACAGAAGATACATTTTAAGTCATAGTTCAAGTATTTTTTTTAATTTCAGAATTGTAAAAGAATATAAATTTATGAGCAAAAATATTATGGCCACATGTATTTTAGCATACAATAAATATTTTCAGGAGATTTCACAAAATATAACTTTTTAAACATCCTCATATAAAGTGATCTCCCCTAGTTATTCTTTACATCATCCCATTTATTTCTTATAGCACCAATCACAATATATTATTATATTGTGTTTCGCTGTTTACTTTGTTTCCCCCACCAGAAAATAATTTCTGTGAGGACAAGTCTTGCTTTTTACCGTATCCCCAGTGCCTGGCACATAGCAGGTTTTCAACAGACACTTATTAAATGAAAAAAAGAAAAGTTCATAAAGTAAACTATATGTAGAAGTATTAAATGCTGTTGTTATTATCCTACATCTCCTTGTTTCCCTTTCCCTTCCAAGAAAAAGCCCTCTGGATAAGGAAGAAATTTCAAATGTAAAACTATTTTATATGGCCTACAACAGGGTTGGAAACTATAGCCCATGGGCCAAATCTAGCCAGCTGCCTGTTTTATTAAATAAAGTTGTATTGGGGCGCCTGTGTGGCTCAGTCGGTTAAACGACTGCCTTTGGCTCAGGTCCTGATCCCAGGGTCCTGGGATCGAGCCCCGCTTCGGGCTCCCTGCTCAGTGGGGAGCCTGCTTCTCCCTCTTCCTCTGCCACTCCCCCCTGCTCGTGCTCTCTTGTTCTCTCTCTGTCAAATAAATAAATAAAATCTTTAAAAAATTTTAAAAAATAAAAATAAAAAAAATTTGTACTGAAACACAGCCTCACTCATTCCTTTATGTATTGTCTGTGGCTGCTTCTAGATGACTGACAGCCGAGTTGAGTAGCTGCCAACAGACTGGATGGCCTGCAAAGTCCAAAATATTTACTCTCTGATCTATAAAATAGGCCACTCTATTTTTAACTATGTATATATTTATACCATGTTTGCCATCTAATCATACATATTTCAAAGATTATAAGAAATAAATTTTGGGGGGCGCCTGGTGGCTCAGTCGGTTAGGCATCTGCCTTCGGCTCAGGTCATGATCCCGGGGTCCTGGGATGGAGCCCCACGTTGGGCTCCCTTCTCAAGGGGGGGGATACTCTGCTTCTCCCCTAGCTTGTGCTCTCTCCCTCCCCACCTTCTCTCACAAATAAATAAATAAATATAAAATCTTAAAAAAAAAAAAGAAATAAATGTTGGAAGTAACTTTCACCTTATTGTAATTCTTGGCTAATTCCAACATCTCTTTTACCACTGATTCATTGTGTTTACAGTGTTCACTGTAGTCCTGAAGTGTCAAACCTTCCATCCAACTCTTCTTATGCAAATTTAACAACATCTAAAAAATATAAAGAAAAAGTAATTATTTTCCTGTATTGAGGGTATTTCCTTCACTTGTTTGAGAAACAATGTCACAAAAAAACTTTGGAATTAATGAAAGAATTTAAAACTTAATTTTATTAACTTAAACTTGAGTAAGACTTCTCCTAAATTTATATTAATATAACCTCAGGAATATTCCACTGCCATGAGCTTTGTACTTGCTGTCCTTCTGCCTCAAAGGCTATTTTCCTTATCTGTGCATGGCTTTTATTTCTCATTTCCTTAGAGTTAGACGCCTTTCCTCACCACACTATATACAAAAGTCACCTCACACTATCTTAAACATCCGTCTTCCCTTATCATTTTTATAACACTATCAACACTTGAAATTTTTGTTTTCTTTATTATTGCATTTCTCTCTCACTAAGGAAAAATCAACAGGGTAGGAGCTCTGCCCTATTGATTTCAAGATCACCAAGATCTAGTGTCTAGAAAATATCTAGTCTAATCATAGCAGACATTCAATAAACATTTGGTGAATGCATAAATGAATGAATGAATGAGTGAAACTACTACATTACACACAAGGTCTCTAATAGTTCATATAGCCCAGCTTTCAAAGGCCATGATAAGGAGGTAAATGTCCCATTCACTGAATGACTTCATTTAAATCTTTCTGAGCCTCAGTTTATATATCTATGAACTAAGGCCTCATAACTCTCTAAGTTTCTTTTCAATTCTAATATTCCATCTATAATTTTTAAAATGAAAACTTCCTCACTGTCAGAATGAAAAGTCATGAAACTGGGCAAGAAATCACAGATTTGTCCAGTCTACAATCAAAGCAGCAAACTAGGATCAGACCCTATTAGTGATCATGGAACTAAACACCTTAGTTCGTTGTTTCTCAAGCTAGACTCCTCGTTCTGAGTACATATTCCTCAAAGTTATAAGTTTTCAAGTTTAGAGTCCTAAGACAGTTTTTTGTAGTCTTATTACTCTATAAATGTTCTTTAATTGAACTTACAATTGAGTAACTTTTTAAAATGACTGATAAAACCTTTGTGGAAAAAAAAAAAACGATTATTGTTCTTTTACCATTAGGACCAGTCTATCTTGTGAGATCCATGAGCCATGATCTGAAGATATAGCTGAAGTGTCGAGTTTAGTTTAGAAAAACTATTCTACTTGCTTAGAATTTTGCAGTTATGTGTGGTACAAAGTTAAGTTTTTTGTTTTGTTTTGTTTTTTGTTTCTATGCTAGAGAATAAGCTGCATGTCAAAAATCACCTATAAGACTTCACAAGACACAAAGCTCCAAATTCCTCCATTCCTATTCAAGGGTCCATAGGGACAAGAGTAGTTTGCAAAAAAACTGAAAAAATCCTGCACAAGTAATTCCAATTTCTTTGACTGCTTCTCCTCTTCTCCAATGTAAGTGTTCTAGAAAATACATCTTCAGGAAATTCTGGTGCAGCTGCAACTATATATGTTATAAAGCTACCTATAGTTAAGTGTTGAGACCTGGATTTTTCCTACCACCTCAAAACCAAAGTTCCCATAGAGCATGAGGATATCCTTACCATGCCTAAACAAGGATTCCACTGTGAGCCTTGAGTATGTTTGAAGGTAAGTATACAGGTTGGTGGGGTAAGAGTAAAGGCAGGGCTTCTGGTACTATAAAAGCTCCTAAACTGAGCTACTAGGAGCATAAACATAACATTAATTATGTAGGTATTTATGTGTGCATCTTTCATGCCAAGGATCATGGCAAATTTTAGGAGCATCAAAAGGGGGAAAAGTTGATGTAATTAGCTGTATATTTCCAAATAGTTGGGTGTCAGATATCAGACTGATAAAATATTTACCTATGTGAATAATATGTTCAGTTTGTACCCGACTGGTGCTCTTTTTCATGGCCTGTACCTATTCTATAAAAATTAAAAATAAGTGTTGAAAATATACTTCAAGCTATCAACTAAATCTACCACAGCACATACAAACTTTGGGACACAGGCAAACAGCTGAAGAAAGATTTATGGCTCTGTGTCTCCCGTTGGGTCAGGGAAGAACTGGCACCTGCAGCCCCTCACTCATCAGCATGCTCAAGCACACAGGTCCTTTGGGTGAGCTGACTGGTAGCTTTGACCTTTTAAAACAATGGTTTATAAAACTTAACAAAACAGAATTCTTCTTTCAATGAAAATCTTATACAGCACATCTTTCTCCACAATATATAAATGACATTAAAAGTGGAGGTCATCTGGTTTAAAGAGGAGGCAATATGGACAGCCCAATTCATCCCACTTCCCATTCACCTCATGCATGAGAATTTCCTTCTAAGGCACCTTTGTGAGGAACAGTTTTGATCAGTTAAATAAGGTCTTATTTACTCCTGATTACTTAGCATGTTTGGACTTGAGAGCCACATATGAACCAAAACTTACTGGCTATCAATAGTACTCGGGGTTCTTAAAAATTATTTTAAGTCTTTCTCAGGGAGAAATACAAGAAGCTAATTTGGAAGATGACTAATTGTAATAGTAAAAAAAAAAAAAGCAGTTCAGATTGTAATTTCAAAAAGCAATAGGCAGACTGAAATATTTGGTATTAGTTGAAATAATCCTAAAATAGTAGAAATAAAAGAATGCTAAGCCACCAAGATGCTAGGTAATTTTAAAGTAACCAAATTTAAAAATTGCCTAGTATAAAAAAGGGTAAGAATCTAGCTTTAAATATCTGAAAACCTGGGGCGCCTGGGTGGCTCAGGTCATGATCCTGGGGTCCTGGGATTGAGCCCCACATCGGGCTCCCTGCTCGGCAGGAAGCCTGCTTCTCCCTCTCCCACTCCCCCTGCTTGTGTTCCCTCTCTCGCTGTCTTTCTCTCTGTGTCAAATAAATAAATAAAATCTTTAAAAAAAACCTTTAAGTTTAAATAAATAAATAAATATCTGAAAACCCTACTGCATTTCCCTTTTGATTCACCTTTCATTTACCCTATGTAAATAGGGTAATTTTTTTTAAGTACTACACAATTATAATCCAATTTATTCCTTTCACATTTGGAAAAAGTTTCAAAAGGTAATTTTGTTGGAAAAAGATAAATTAATCAGAAAAATCACAGAACGAGGAGAAAGATTTTTGTAATTAATCATAAAATCAAACAGAAATGTTTGTTTCCTACTTATTTTCTTGTTTAGCACCTACCAATAAGGTAAAATGTCTTTCAATATATCCAATAAAATATTCCTTTATTTTATGTTCCTGTAATTCATCAGGAATGAAAAAATATTTGAACACATCAATGAACAAGGTCAACAATTCAAATTCAAATATACTATGTAATAGTTCAATTGGTCTGAAAAAGTTTTTTTTTTCCCTCTCTCTAAGATACAAATTTTAACTTACCTTCTGTTCCAGTTCATTTTTCCGGTAGTTAATAGTAATGGAATAATAGTGTCTGTTTAGTCCATGAATTAACGCCTATATAAATAAAGGAGTAGATAAAGGACAAATTAATGTTCTGCATGTAAAAAATAAGTCTGAAACTGCTGACATATCCTATAGACAACACTTTTACTACCTTCTCACTAATCAGAATTTTTTCCACTGCACTTGACTTCTCTAAGACAAACAGGCAGATCATAATAAAAATTCAAGCTAATGACATGGCTTTATTAAGAAATGATAGCCCTGCCTGTGATGTAATCCATTCACAACTGCTCAAATATCGAACTCTAGCAACAGATGTTCAAATGGGGTTCAGAATGATATTCTGGGGGATCCTCTATCAGCCTAGTAAGACATGAAAGTACAGAAATATACCTTGGACTTATTTTCAACAAATATAAAAACAAAAGGGTAAAAGTTTTAGGGTTAGCTCAACTATAAAGATAAAGCTAACCAAAACCACCACTGCACTAATTACTGGATTTTTACAGTGAAGCAGTTAAGGTGTTGAGGTAGAAGAAGGGCTAGAAAGGAAACATTTAGTGAGTACACAGCATCTGCTTTTCACATTAGGTCTTCTAATCTTCGTAACAACCTGGTAAAGCTGGTTCCATTTGTATTTTGACAGATGAAGAAAACATAACACAAATCTTAATTTGTCCCAGTTTTACAGCAAGGCAAAGGTAGGATTTGAACTCTAGTATTTCTGACTCCAAAGCCCATGTTTTTTCTACCATAGTATGCCACAATGTGTCTTAGGAAATTCTTGGATTAAGTCTTTATACTTTAAAGGATCAGGATAAAAACAAAGCATGGCCAGTCTTATTTTAAAACTATGCTGGGGCGCCTGGGTGGCTCAGTCGTTAAGCGTCTGCCTTCGGCTCAAGTCATGATCCCAGGGTCCTGGAATTGAGCCCCGCATTGGGCTCTCTGCTGGGCAGGAAGCCTGCTTCTCCCTCTCTACTCCCCCTGCTTGTGTTCCCTCTCTCGCTGTCTCTGTCAAATAAATAAATCTTTAAAAATAAATAAATAAAACTATGCTAGCAAAAAAACACTCCACCAAGTACTAAAGCATTTTAAGTATGTACTCTAACAATCCATTCTTATCCTAACATCTACTATAATAAAATGGTTGATGTACAAAATTAAAGTACTAAGTGTATCTATTAAATCCTTATCCATCTCAATAATCATCAAGAGTAGTGAATTAAATTTCAGTGCTCAGAAATGCTGTGCTGTGCAGATCAACAAACAGAATTAATCAGGGCCTTCCTTAATATGTACTCATATTTATGTAAATCAGGAAGTGTATCCCCTGGGTGGAAGAATTAGAAGAAGATGGTACCTAGTCCTCCCAGTGGATAAAGCCTGACTGGAGAGTGGAACTTACACTAGATTTTAGTTCCCAATTGCCCTCCTCATTGAAGGACCTTTGTGCAATGCCCTGACTACATAATTCTACATAGCAGCCATAAAGTTAGTAACAGCTGTGGCCAATAAATGGGCCCACAGTCCACATTTTAAAGATTAACTATACTGCTAAAATATGCAGTTTGGTATCTGAAGGCACTACCTACTTGATTTTTAATGACCTTATTTAGATAAAAGCAGGAAAACTAACACAGGCAGCATGAAAGATGAGCAGGTATAATGATTTAAAAATTTGTAAGTTTAAATAAAATGATATCCACAAGCAGTCTTCCAATTCCACTTACTCACCGGCTGTGTACCCCCAGTACACTCCAAATCACAATTGGCCATATACAGTCCTCCTTCCACATGAGCCCAAAAAACACAGCCTCAGTGAATAATAAATTCTCTCAAATTAACCAATTTAGTCAATAAGTTGAGGCAGCATATGCCATATAGAAGATTAGTTTTATCAAGAGGGAGAACCAACCTTTTGTAGGGGTCAAATTGCAAATTAAACAGAATATACTAGCAAATGGCATAGTATGTCAGGCAGATAAAAGAGAAATATAGCTAGGAAATTTCTTAAAACATCATTTCTTAACTTTTTAATTTATACTTAACAAACGTATGATGGACTTAGGAAAATTTAGGCAATTCTTCATTAAATTCCCCAAACTCATTCATTAAATGGCTATTTAAAATCTACAAGAGTTTCTCATAGAAGCATTCTTATAGTTTGATTCTATTCTATAATATTATATACTGTGAACTAAATAAGCTTTCAGTGGCTGATCCGGGATCAGCACTTTTTTACAGCACTGTTTCTAGGACCATACGTTTTGAATTTACCAACAGCAGTGAGCTTATTTATTTGCTTCTTGTATATACTGACCCTTGTTTTCTCTGCTCAAACCTTGCCAACCTTTCAAGAAGGAAGTTCTGCCTAGGTTGGAATTCATTATCAGTCTAAGGGGCTATCTATTCTAGATAAAGAATGGTTTGGAGGACCACAGACAAAGGGGAGTTTTGAGATCCCGCTGATTAACTTCCTGGTTATTTCTAAGCTGCTTTAGTTAATCTTTAGAGTAAAGCTTCATAATTTTGTTAGTATGACAAATTCAAAACAAATACATAGGGGCGCCTGGGTGGCTCAGATGGTTAAGCGTCTGCCTTCAGCTCAGGTCATGATCCCAGGGTGCTAGGATCGAGCCCCACGTCCGGCTGCTCCTGGTTCAGCAGGGAGCCTGCTTCTCCCTCTCCCCCTGCTCATGCTCTCTCTCTCTGTATCTCTGTGTCTCGAATAAATAAATAAAATCGTTTAAAAAAATACATAATCATTACAGTGAAATCAACTTCAAAATTAACCACCATTTGAATTATTTATATTTCTGTATTTGTTCATTCATGTGATTTATAGAACTTGAGTATTATAAATATCTTTGGGAGACTAGATACCTAATCCCAAAGAATGTTCAAGACTGTCTAAACCACTAGAGCATAAATAATAGCAAGAAGGAAAAGCAATAAACTTAGAACTGTAGTGATATATGAGCAAAGGTGGCAGAAACTATGGAATAAACATATAAGCAGTTTATGAGAGGCAGTCAGCTATCAAGCTGGAAAGAACTGTGTAAGATGGTATTTTATATAAAGGGATTGTTGACAACAGATCCTAAAATAGGATCCTTTACTTAAATGGCTTCCTATATAATGCCTGTGTCAAATAACTACAAACAACTAAAACCTATCCTTATTATACTTCACTGACACTGCCCAGACTATTGAGAAGAGGTTAAAGTTATATATCCATATACTCACTGCTATGGAAAAGCAGGCATATTATAAAATACACAGCTTATGAACTTTATAATAATAACTTTTTTAGAGGTTCTTGATAGGTCAGAAAAGTTCCATGCTCTTAAAAAAGTAAGGTGTGTTTATTCGGATGCAAAAATAAGTTTGACTTAAATTTACACTGATAAAGTGAAAATGTGGAGCTAAATAATATCAATTAGATCATATTTTTAAATGAATGGACTTTTCTTTATATAAATATAGTAACTCTGAAAAGAAATAAAATGTTTTTGTTTTTTCCTTGGGAGTAGAGAACTGGGTTGCAAAAAGCAAAAGTAGAAGAGAGTTTCTGCTAAATACCTTTTTGTACCTTTTGAATTTTGAACTGTATAAATATACTATCTATGCTAAAATTAATTATTTAAGTTCCAAATATAGTATTAAGAACCAGGAGCCCAGGTTATGAATACCAGTTCCTACATTAACTCACTACAAAAGCCTGTGCAAATAGGAACTTTCTGGGCCTCAGTTCCCTCACCAACAAAATGACCACAATGGTTCCTTCCAGAGCAACTGTCTTATAACTTTCAATAAGTACTGAAAATGATGTTTTTCAAAGAGCTTAACTCTGTTAGACAATGCAATTGTACCCAGAGCTACACTTAGAGGCTCACAGTCCTTGTACAATATATCTGTGCATCAACAGTTACTAAATTTCCATGCAGTTGACAACCCAATCTTCACATATACTATGGCTCTTAAGGATCTGAAATGCTTTGAACAGTTCTTAAGTGGACTAGTTTAAAATTTTTAGTTACTCAAATAAATGCTTGTTAACCCTCAATCCTATACATTTGACAATAATGGTAAAAGTTCCAAGTACAAAATAATACAAAGTCTCATATATTAAAACATAAGTCTAGAATGTAAGCATCATACTTCTGCCTCCCTATCAGGATTATTAATGGTTTCCCTTATTTAAAACATGATACTTAACATAAACTTTGCCTATTAGTTTTGTCTTGTAGATATTTCCAACATTGTTTTAGTGCTTTAAAAATAACGTTTTCTGTAATATATGTTTCACTGTAGAAAGTTTAAGAAATATGGAAAAGGAAAAACAAGAAAAAGAATTCCATAATCCCACCACCAAAGGTAATAATTACTAACATCTTTGTACAGATAGGCACATTTTATAAAATATGTATTTCCAAAGAGAAGAACTTGTAAATCCTACTTTATAATCTTTTTCTTAATACATTTTAAACTTTCCTCAAATTATTAAACAGTAGTCTATAATATAATCATAATTTCCCCCATTACTATAAGTATAATAGTAAAAAATCAGTGTTAGGAAAGCATTCGTCACCATCAGCGTTAAGCGCTGATGGTTGCTGTCAGGTCTCTATCCCTACTACTAGAAAGTTGACTTAGGTGCAAGGCTCCTCTTAACACAAACTAATTTTCCTTCAAAATAAAACCCCTTCGAAAGGCTTCTGATCCCTGAGTCAAAGATTCTACTAACATATATTAAAATTCTATTATAAATATTACCATTCACCACTTCAGGTTCTTCTGGGCTGCTTTCTTTCTAGCTTGTCTTAGAAAACTAAAATAGTTTTAAGGTGTGGCTTTGTTCTGTTACTTGTTGGCTTGGTCCTATTTAAGTGTTTTAGTATTGAAATTGTCTTAAAACTGTAAAGCACCCAGATAGATGTCATTCTGATGAGCACTATATAAACTGTGAAATAAATATATTTACAGATTTTAATGAGAAGGCAAAACAAACTAAAATGAAAGGAAAAACAATGACACTGTAGCTATTATATACACAGGTCCTTTTAACTTGGTTTGGAACTTGCTTTATAAGGTCCACCCTAAGTTATAGACTATAAGGTAGGACTAAAAAATACAAACTGGACTACTGTAGGAAAAAAACAGATTTTAATATTGATTTTACTCAATTTATAAAGTTAAAAAGCAGGGTTTACATTTAAAAGATGAAAGCGGCAACAGGTGGCTACTGACTTGCAATTAGTAAAAACTTCTGGCAGAACTATACCATGTAGTAATCACAATGATCTTGGATTGTGAGATGCTACTTAACCTTTGGCAAAAAAAATAAAAATAAAAATAAAAATAATAATGAAGTAGTATGATACTATGGGGGTTTATAAGAAAGGTCATTATCACAGGCTAAACAGGTCCAATAATATATTCTCCTGGAACATACAAGCATGGGCTTGTCTGTACCCAATCAAAAACACTGGTAGCTTATTTCATACTCATTAAACTTTGCAGTTTTCCCTGACTTGTAAAACAATCTTATTCAAAAGCAACACACCTCAATCCTTTGAAACAAAACGTTTCACTTTGAAGAAGATTTCAGATGAGTGACTGCTGCAAAAGTAAGTGTCTAAAGGTGTAAAGTTAATCAGAGTGCAACCCAGGCTTAACCATGGTTAACTGTCAAAGCCACAACTCCCCAAAGACAATCATATGACAGAGCCAGGTTTCAGAAGGCAAGAAGCAATAGCTACTATAATGTCTTTGTCCTATGTGTTCTATTTAACCAAACATGGTATTTCTGTCCATTTAATTAATCTTCAGAGAAGCAATTAACTATATAGACACAGGTTGTGGTGCATTTAAAAACATATTTAAAATAATCTTTGCAGACAATAAAGATTTGTGTAAAAACAATGAGACATGTGAATGATACAAAAAAACATTAATCACTCAGGAGGATATTAAATGCCTGCATAACTATAATAATGGTGGTTGACATTATTAGAACAATATATAAATGAATCAAAAGTAATAATATAGATATGTTTTGTAGGGTTTGTTTTAAATGTGGAGAGTAAACAAAAAAAAGGCAGAAAGTTTTAAGTACCATTTAAAAGGAATTGTTTCTGTCTTTAAGAGACAGAAATATCAATTTTCCCAATTTTAATGCTGAGAAATGTCTACTAACCAATCAATAACGATACCCCAATGCACTCTACCCAAAACCTGTATCAGTCCTCTACTACAGTGTTAACCATGCAAAGCCGAAAGTTACTCTCAAGATAAAAGACTCTACTGTGCTTCCAAAAAGAGTATCCCCAAACTATGTTAGGTAAGTTTAAAGACTCCATTAAAAACGCCTCATAAATGAGCAAATCTAATTTTTCAAGTGTTTCCATAATCTTCTCAAGCACAAGAAAAATTAATTGCAAACAAATTAAAATGCTAAGTATTAGATTGTAAAATGGCCATTTATAATAGGTTTTTAAAATATAAAATAGAGTTTAACACATTATCAAATACAGGCATTACCTGGATAGATGGCTTGTTTAAATGACCCAGATTTGAGGTTGTTTGTCTTGGTTCATGTCCTAAGACCATCATATTAGCATTGATCAATCTGAAGGCATCAATAACAACCTGTAAAAATAAGGTGTCAGGTCAATTCTTTTTAAAAAGCAAGTGATGATACCAAGCAACAGTGGACAGGCATGATCAACTTGCATCTGTTTCTGGCCTATTTCCAGAAAATCATTTAATTATAATATTAATAAAAAAGAGCCTCCTGCTGACTGTGCCATCAGCACACCACCCTCTATCTTGTAATGTAAGGTGACACCAATTATTGCAATTTTCATGAAGCAGTAAAGAAAAATATTAACTTTGCATCTTTATTATTGAAATACATCATTACTAAACTTATACACCAAACAGCCTCCATTGGTGTGCATATGTTTGTCACCTAAATTTTACCTAATCAAAATGAATGACAAAGAGAAACTAAAACTGAAAGTGAGCACAAGCTAAGGGACCACATGTAAAGCCCAGCCCTGTCACATCAATTATACTACCACAGTACTTGAAATGACAACAAAATTACAGCCAGCAAGGCACTTGCTCCACGTATTCTCTTCTAGTCAGATACCTTTTACTTCTTGTGACTATAAAAGACTTTATACCTTGTCTGATGGCCTTAAATATCCAAGCCACTGTCAAGAATAGGAGGCAAACACAAGAAAACCAAGGTCATCTGTGCTTTAAGCCAGGAACATAGTATAGACTGAGACGGCCATAAGTTCATAGTAAAGAAGTAACGATAGGTATCATCTTTTTCTAAGTGTATTCAATATTTCTGTATAAAAAGAGTTCAAATTCTTATATGATACAGTATCATCTGTTAGCTCTTATATATTAAGAAATTTAACAAGAATCACATATTATCCAAACACCTTTTTCTGTTCATTATCATGGATTTGAAAAGAACTCGTTAAAGCTTTTAAAATGCTGTGAAGTTTTATGTAAAGCGCTGGGACATTAAGACAGATGCTTCTTTCTGGGAAATTAAATCAATTACCTAGAGAATAAACTCAATACTTCTGTCACATAAAAAAATCGTAAAGCAGGATAATACATTTTTCTAGATTTGCCATAAAAGTGCTTTAACTGAGACTTATTAACATTATAAAAGCTACCATCAACTAGACTTCCCCATTTCCATATAGTTTGAGTACAGCTGAGTAAGTATAGTTTAGTAAGAGGTAGAAAATCAAATTTATTTTCAAGCCAAATGAAATCTAATCAAGTTTTAAAAGTCTGTAGTAGGTATGTATACATGTTATATACTAAAGAACAAGATCTAAAGAAAGAAAAAAAGTCACTCTTTCTAAAAGGCTACCACAAAGGGTCAACAAACAGTACAAAAGATACAAACTTAGACCTAAAGCATTACAAGTGTCCACTCTGGCAGGCCAAAAAAAATCAACTTTGAAATTTTGCTTTTATTTCTAACAGTTTGAATTTCCCCAGAGTCCTCTTGCCTCAAAATAAAACCAAGTATTCCCAGAACATACATGATTTAATAGTTTGTGAAAATTCCTTTTTCTTTTTATACAATAACTGTAATTCAGACTTAACTTTCATATTTATATATAAATAAATATGGCCTCGGTTAATACTTCTTGCTTATACTTACATTTTTTTATCATTTATTTTCATAAAACAATAATAAAGGTACTAATATCAGACATGCTTTAATCAGATATTATCATAATTTCAAACACTTGTTTAGTAAAATTTTCTACCAAAAAGCACCCTAAAATAAAATTAAAATGTAAGCAAAAGGAGAAATGACCATTTTAATAGATATACTTAAATAAATGCAGGATTAAGAACCATCACCATTTAAAGATTGAGGTAAATTTAAGAGTAAAGCATCATTTTGGCCTAATTATTCTTAGAATACTTTGATTCCATTTTAAGATTTCAGTAAAATCATTTGTAGGAAAAAAAAAAACCAGTCCTACAAAACTATGAAAATTCCATCATATATCACAACAAAATGCCTATATATTGTCTTATACTGAACACTTTCAAACTAAAACAGCAGGCAGCTATTTTACATGCAAAAAAACCCCATAATATTTCTCTGGAATATTATAAGCAGGCGTGAAACTTCATAAAAAGGAAATGAAATACCAGCTAAGTAGGTATTATGATCTGTTAGAAACCTATCTAAAACAAAAAAATTAAATTCTATTAAAAAATGAGAAAAAACTTAAAAATATACTGTTCAACTAATAAATGATGGCCTATGTGAAATAACATGCTTAGACTGACAATTCCTCAGGAGCGATATGGTAGCCAACAGAAAAGAATACTTTGACTACACCAAGATTAAAGGAATTTGCTGCCATTGCTATAGCAACTGTCTTAAGAAAACTAACATGTTCAACAACCTGCAGACCAAAATTAGATTTAGTATGCAATAAAAATATAAATATGGCAATATAGTCTACATTTTAATTTCTGTACAATTTTATAATTGCCTTTTGCACTGTGAGAATAAGTGCGTTCCTCCTTTAGAGCAACCTATCAAAATAGACTCATTAATGTCCAGTGCACTAATGAGCAATGGGTGAAGAAGGTGTTAATTATGCCACAGTAAGATTCAAGAAAAAGCCCTGGTGAGCACTTGGAGGTGTGTATAAGCTGAAGGCGTTTCTCCATGTTTATGTATTTACAGCATGATGCAACAGAATGACAGCGAAGTGGTCACTCCATGGATAAGAAAGGAAATCTTAGATACAATATACTGCACAAAGAACCCCCAAAGATTAATTAAGGTATGGGGAAGGAGACAGGGGAAAGAATCCATTTCTGAAGCTATATGAATTTTCTAAACAGTTTGTTTTAAAGTATACATACATTAAACCAGTCCAGTTTATAGCTTATAAATCCAAACAGTAATTTAGCCAAAAACTTTGCAAAAACTACATTAATATGCAGTAACAAAAACTTCCAAACAAAAGTTTAAAGAATATTTTCAGAAATGTGATGCTAGACTTCTATAATTCCTTTCCATGCTGAACTCCTATACACCACACTGAAACTCTATCCACCAGCCTGACCATTTAATTTTTTCTGGTACAAGTGCCTTGAGACTTTTCAGAGGTCACTGCAACAGTAGACAGCTTATAACAAAACCATTAGCAGTTTGGCTAGCTTAGGGAAACCTCTTACTTTCCTTTTTTGTTTATTATCACTGCATGAATCTGCAGCATATGATAGTTTATAATTTCTCAGGCTTGTTAAATTCATGTTAAAGGTCTGTTTTCTTGTTGAATAAATTTTGTTCATATAATGCTGCCTATTTCATACACTCAGTCTTTAATAGCACCTTTGGTCTATGCGCAACTCACAGATCAAAACAGAGGACTAAAATAGGGGTTGATGATGCTATTTACATGTGTGATTCCTGCTGTCTTCTTGTTAGTAGCTTTAATATAATAGAAGACCTTGTCTGTTTTGTAATTAACACATCTTTACTGGAGAGATATTTGGAAGTGATTGCTGTGAATATACTGGTTAGTAAAATAAACACAATCACACACCACTTTCTGTTATCAGACAAATTTGTGAATTGTACACATTATACTCCAGATCAACAAACTGTGATATAACAGCCAAGTAGAAGACACATATTTATATAACCCTTTATTTTTCTGAAAATATGTATTCACTCTGACCTTGCAAATATAATTAGCTTGTGGGATGTGCAGATTTCAGTACCATGGTTGCTTTACTAATTGCAACTCTTGGAAATAGATACTAAATATTTGGAAGCTGCCAATACAAAATAAAAACTGCATCTTTTTTGTACATCTGTCTTAGCTTATAAAAGCAAAATAGTTTTAAAAACAATACTGTGTTCCATATTTATTCCAAGCACACCCAAGGGTCAAGAACCTATCATTTCATTTTAATAACGAGTCTGGTTTAGGACTCAAAACTGCAATTATTTTCAAATTCAGTTTAATCCATAATTTTTTTGGCTTCTTTCATGAGTATAGTACAGTTTACCCAATATGCTACTTATTTTCAATTCATATTTTCATATCAACTGCTAGGTCACTGAGAGACTAGACTAAATTTCTAAGCATCAATCTAGGTTTCCCAATTTTTCCATTCAAAGGAGGCTATGTTGTAAATCTCCTAAAATTACTTTAATACAAAGGTGTTAGAAGGAAAAATGCATACACACTTTTGGCAGTAGTTACTATAATTATCATCTCTCCATCTCTCTCTCTCTTAATAATAGCTGCCTCTGGCATTTCCAATTGCACTTATATTGAAGTCAATGACTATGGAAAGTGCTTAGAAATAAAATGAACCGAAATAATTTTTTTAACAAAGTTTGAAAGAAAAATTTTAAGACCTCAAAATCAATTTCAAATATCAAAAAAAGAGAAAAGTTGCAATTCAGTTACCAGTTGTTACGTATTTAAAAACATAAAGTCTCTACATGTCTTTTATAGTCTAAAAGACTATAAAAAATGTTAGGTGTAGAAAGAAAAGCAGCACTCCATATCAAATACCCTTTATCACCTAGAAATGACCTATTATCAACTGCTTAGGTTGTTTCTAGATTCTTTAAAAATTAAGGGTGCATGTGACCTGGGCAGTACTGCTGGGGTTTGTGACCCTTTCGTTACTTCTGCTGCCGTGCACTGCCAAGCATCTATAAGAGAAAAACATCTTCTGTCTCTTGTAAGCCCACAGCATAAAAAATTCAAAGAAATCTTACTTTTTATGCCATTTCCAATGAAAAGCACTAAGAACTAAAACTGACTCATGCCAAATGCATATCACTGAATTGCTGTGATTTCTTAGTCTCAAGTTTGCAACACGGAAATTATTTATAAAATGTCAATTTTAGCTCTGGAAAAGAAATTCCTATGTGTATGTACATTCTCTTTCCTCATCCTTGGAGAACTGCTTACTGTAGCTAGAGATCTGTAGTACAACTTCAATATACTGGGGGAGAAGGGGGATGGGGTGTAACTAGCATAATGTACTTTTCTTGACAAGTGAAGACATGCATCAAAATTCAAACAGTAAAGCGCAAGTTCTGAACATGTATG